AAGACGCATAAAAATTTTTTAAATATCCATATTTTTAATGAACATTGATTTCTTTAAAATTATATTAATTGTAGTAAAAAAAATGTATTAAGACCCAACGAAAATATTTAATCCGATATTTTTCTTTTTATTTTTTTATCTTAAGAAAAACTGATAACACTTTATTACTTATTCCGGTATTTACAGAAAAAATTTTCGATCAATTTTTTTTGGAGCAGATTATTGATAATTTTTTGAAAATTGTTCTTCAACCCTAAAGACTATTTAAAACCTTCCCAAACTATAACCGACTTCATTATCGTTTTCTCATGTCCCAAAAGCATACCCAACAGAGGCAAAATGATTATTGCGGCTTGTTGGTTATATTAAGTAATTGAACGACACAACGAAACACTTAGACCAAGTTGTTGGAGTTCCTAAAAACAGGTGGCAGACGGACAGAGGGTTAAAAGCACGCGTCAAACCACCCCCGTGGTTAGGTGGGGACCTCTTCATGGTTCGCAGCTGGATGTCGAGGCCCCCTTGGGCTCCAGCTCAACCACTTGAAAATAAAATAAAAAAGCAACCGCTTGATATATCCACTATACCTCAATACGTGAATGACAGTCAGTTGGAAGCTCTTGTAAGTTCAGTAGAGCCTTCAATCTCTTCTGATGGTCTCTCTGGTGATGCTTTCAATCATATTAATTATTTCATTTGGTAATTTGTCGGTGAGAATCCGCTAAACTATTGGTCTGCGCTCAGCTACTCTTATACTCGCTTCTGCTTCTCGACACTTGATTTCTATTCGGTGGAATTTTTCGACACGCCGACACTTCGATCAATATTTGCGCAGCCGGGGACTCAGCTATATCTACGTCACTCGACCTTCCGCGGCCATATGCGAGTCGCGCGCGCGCACATTCGAGGTCCAATAGAATAGAAGACGTGTTTTCAACTATGTCGCATGCAATCTATAAACTGGAATGTATATAGAAATTTTTTAATTTAAAAATAAATCCATTCAACTTTTATTTATTTTTATTAAATGAGGATTGGGTGATTGATAAAATTTTTATGAGTTGATTTAACAAAGCTGCTTCTTTCAATGTATACATATTTAGCACAGGTTTAATTTTATTTCTTGTCAATGCTTAATGTATGGTTCACTGTTTGCTGAAGAAATCAAATTTGCACCAATGGCAATTCTTTCTTTGCTCCAGTGAAATTACGCTAAATACTTGGTAATGAGCGATTATCTTGGTTAGCCTAGTTAACACGTGCGCTGGTCCAAGGTAATAAGTACGTGTACGAGCTGTCTACAATATATACACTTATTCTACGAGTTTATGTAGGTAATCGACATGAAAGTAGACTTAAGACACGTGCTTCATTACTACCATACTCTAAAGCTTATGCAATCTTTCAGAATTAAATTATTTCAAAAAATATTTTCATTTCATTTTTGTACTCTCCATTAACATCTTCAAAAATAGAAATACTTTTTTTAAATTTATTATTCAAATAAAATGATAAATTTTTTCGACTGTTTTAAACAATTTAAATCATTAGGTTTACTATCAATCCATCATTGATGATATTTACAAAATGTTCAAGGTAAAATTATTGACTCCATCTTCTAAATAATTCATTATATCCTTGATGCTTCTACTATTCTACTATCTATATTTTAATTAAAGTTTTTTGAAAAAAAAATAAAATCGATTTAAAAATTGGATAAATATATAATCCGATAATGATAATTTATCAATATTTAAAATAAACGATTCTTCAGTAGATTTGTATACAACACCCTGTCCACAGGATTACTTGAATGCAAATAATTATCCCACACTTGTGATTTTAACAGAAGATACAATATTCGCAAAAGATAAACAAAATTGGTGATTGTCAAACATAAAATGGATTTGATGTGTATATTTAACTTAACGTATTTGTTAAGTAGACTCAGAAGAATTTGATAAAGTGAACAAGACTTTATTATAGCATAGAAGTTGTCAGTGAAAACGTATATTAGTAGTTATGCTGCAATATACTGTATCTATATATCTGTGTGTCTATTAATTTAAAGCTCTAATCCAATTGGTAATATAAATGTGTAAATGGTTTAAGTATAATATAAATGAATATGTAAGTAGTTAATAGTTTTGGTTGATGTATAAGTGAGCATATAGGTATATACGATATAAACGACGTGTACTAGGGGCTTTCAGGATTCATAGCTGTTTGAGCGACAAATATTTTGTCGTCAAACTTCTGTCGGGTTGGAATGAACGTGTCTATATATGCAGGGCTAATACAAAGCATTCCGTGGGACGTTTGCTGAAATCAAATTTAATTATTAGCGCGTGCACGCGTTAAAACGTCAACTTGACATATCCAAGATTATGATCATATAAGTGATAACACGTATGAAGTAACCGCGCTTTATTAGAATTTCTCTAGTGATTACAAATTTGTTGTCGTTCGTTTGCAATATCGATCCACGTAGTAGTTCTACTTCTCTCACCACTACTCTATCTCTCGCTAGACAAGACTTATCGCGTGTCTCTATGTATGAGTGAGTGAGAAATACAGAGAATACGCTGACGAACCTGCCACATACAAGCGTATGAATTACCACAAATATTTACCGGGCGTCAATCGTCGAGATGATGCTTTGGTGTTTCGAGTGTTTGGTTTATATTAGAAATGGCAACAAATTTACTTTTTTTATCTGATATGTACGTAGTTGAGAAAAGTCTATTTAATTGTAATTACATTATGAATAAATATTTTTTTAAGCTTTTTTCAGTCTTTAGAACGTGCAGTGAATGAGTTGTTAAGAACTCTGTTTGGATTGGGGTGTCAATGTTTTCTGTTGAATGGGCTATTAATTTTTTTTTAATAATCAGTTGATGGTTAGGGTTTGATATTGGAATGCAAAGTTGAACACAGATAAATATATCAGTAAAATATTGATTTGGAGTAAAAGTCAACTCCAAAAAAAATTTATAATTTAACAGTTTTAATAAATTTATTGTTACTTTTATGTATTATCATTTTATTTAATATTATTATATATTTTTATTTAAATATTGTTAATGAATTTTTAAGAAAAATTTTCAGGTTAATTTTTGGAAAATTAGCATTGATTATTATTGATGTTTAAGTTAAATATATTTTAATTTAAGAAGAAATTTTTCACTGAAAATTTTTATGTTTAAACATTGAACAATTTTACTGTTGGGATATATTAAACACATGATGTATTTCTCTCTTTATGACCTGTCAAACCAGCTAGTGTAGCTAAGTAAGTGCTAACAAGCTCATCCTGAACCCAAGAAAATCTTAAGCCTTTCAGAAATTCCACAGACACCATAATAATATTACGTAAAAAATCCTAATCCCATTATCTAAATTTACTGGCATATCCTTTAGTGCATAAAATAATTCACTGATGATCTACTCTGGCATTAGTTAAGGACCTGTGACCCCAAAGACAATTGCTCAATTCCCAAATATCGTGTTGAAAAACAATTGTACAGATTGGTCTGCCTGATCCCTTTATTTGAGATTCTGTCTGCAAGCAAGATAAAGCACCGATACTAGAGATAAGTGAGAATGAGAAGGATAAAAAAAAAAGGAAATATTGCCCTCGGCGCCGGGATAGTCCTGGTCTCAGTCTCGAACACAAGAATAATGTGAACAAATCGTTGGTAAGCTTGAGCGACAGGGTGTAGGCTTAGCACTCCCCCTCAGGCGTTGAGAAACGAGGGGGCGCATATCTTGGTAGCGTTAAATAGCCGCTTAAATCACGGGGGGATATGCATCACATTTGTATATTGCCCTAACTCGCGATCTGGCAATTGTCAGTGCCCAAGACCCCCTTGCGAGTGAACACGCCACCAAACCACCCCCCTATCTAACTATGTTCACCCCTTCAAACTTCCCTCGGCATTCGACTATGTACGTTCTTTGCTATACTCGCCGCATTGTATCCCACTGTGTGTGTTTATATTCGTCCATACGAGCATCTCGAGCGAATAATATGCCGCTAAATGCTACATATTGCTCCGCTCTGCTTCAATTTATTCAAGGATTTCAATGAGCATTTCTTTCAGGCAACATCATGGAATCAGTGTCAAAATAATTCCTGTTTTATGATGGCTCATATGTGTTCGACTTTATCGCTTGATATTTATGCCAATCATTTAGTTCTGGGTCCTTACATCTATTCAGTGAAGACATCATTTATTTTTAGAGTTTATTTATAAATTATTCAATAACATGTGGAACGAATTTTTGTTTAATATGAATAAATTTTATACGATTTTTTTTTTATTTAAAAAAATTTGGAGATGTTATGAAGACTTAATTATAGTCTACAACGTATGATACCTAATTTTCAAATCAGCTAGTTTTTAAAGGTGATTCGATTATTGGTTATATAAAACTATGTTTATAATATATAATATATGAAAGGAAGATTAAATCTGGGATATCTTGTTTCAAATATCTTGAGAATGAAACAATCAAAGTTTAGAAGTTTAATGAAAAAGTAATTCTTCTTGTCAAGTTTACCATCAAAATCATTAGCAAAATTAATGAAATAATTTTATTTTTGAATTACCATTTCTCATGTGATGATATTGTTTATCATCAAACTTCCTTGAGATCTATTGTTCTCATTACCTGGATTTTTGGAGTAAAGTTTAGACATTGATGTTTAAACACTAAGTTGATATTTTGAAACCAACTATTGTATATTAAAAGCTACTAATTTACAAAGTAAAATAATTACCTTTTGCTAAAATAAAATTGGAACTCTGAAAAAAGTTAGTAAATAAGTTCTTCATTAATTTTCCCACGCTGGAAGTCTCCTCTTCAATGTATTTTTAATGAGAAAAACAATGTACTTGATGATATCAGTTATTTTCCCACCTCAGTTAATTGATGTATTGTATAAACTAACATAAACATTACTTATCGATGGTAAATGATAAATTTTTACTTCATAGGGTTGAATAGTGATCTGAAGAGCCCTCCAAGTGGATTCTTTGTGGTCGTCGATTGGGGGTTTGATTCAGAGCCACAACTTGCTACGACACTGTAATTATATCATTTTGGTGTCACGCGACTTGGAAAGTACACCACAACATGAAGAGCTAAAGAATGATGTCCCACGTGGCTAGTTGAGTGTCCTCAATGTCACTGGATCATGTGAAGAATTGAAATGGTCACTCATAGAAAAAAAAGATCTAGAAAAGCTGTGATAGATAGCAAAGGTGAGTGAAAAAAATTAATATTTTTAGAAGCCATTAAAAGTTAAAAATACTTGACTAAAAATTTCTTTGGAGTAGAATTCAAATGTCGAACTGAGAATAAGAATCGTTGAGCTTTCTAAATTCACTCTAAATTTAGTGTGGTCTGTATGTAGAAGTAGAGTATATAATAGCTTCAGAGTTTCTTTCCTCAAGTCTTTCTGAAACTTTTGAGTCTTTTTGTTCCATAACTCCACTGGTCTTTACCTTTTCTTCATTATCTTGACCTACATTTTAGAAGTCAAAATTACTTCGGATATAATGAACGCAAGAAACTTCATCAATTAGAAAATTTCTATTTTAGTTTGATGTTGAAAAAGTATATTAATAGTCAAACATTAATTTTTAATAGCTTTGATAATATTTTAAGTAGCAAATAATGTTTTTCGAATAACAAACAAACTCATTTGAAATGTTGAAGAATTTATTCCATTACTGATCATTTTATTTGCATATTTTCTCCAATAACAATCAAATTTCAACGATAAAAATAATTCACCAACACACAAAATGCTATTCAATTAATTACTATCATTCTATTAATTTAACAAAAAATTCTATCATTTAATTTTATTATCATCAATGTTCTAAATGTAAACAATTAAAGTTGAATCTTGAATAGTTCTCAAGTAAATTAAAAAAATTTTTTTGATGTTTTTTTTTTATTTTAAAAGGTAAAAAAGAAGGAGTTGTTGAAATTAATTTTTTATTAAATAAAAAACCTTCTAAGAAAACTAACAAATTATAGTTTGGAGTATTTTATTCTTATTATCAAACAAATACACTCATATTCATGGTTCACATAAATCCATACGTAAGCTCCAATTCCTTTTACACACATCAAACAATGTCATAATTAATAATGATATGATGTAAAGTGTGATGAGTATATTAAAATAAATCATTATCTTCCTTATTATACCTGCTATTCTTACCTACTTAAAACATATGTCCTATTGTTCTGCTACCATAGAGAGAATTTATCCACAAGTACGTTGGCAAAATTAGAGTATGCATGAGCCTACTGCAAAATTTGTAGATTCGTCTCGCGTTGATTTCAGCAGAGTCACGTGTAAGCGAATTATCTGTCTCGAAGCCAACTACATGAAGCTTGAATTACACGCTCGTTCGCGCCCCTCGTCAGGTATCTCATGCTAAGGGTAAAATTCATGGCGTTGAGATGGTGCAAGAGAAGGAGACAACTTAGCGGAGGATGTTCTATCTGGTGAAAGGGATGGAAAGGGGCCACGGGGAAAGAGAACGCGTAACTTATAGGTATACCATACCCTACTCACCCGAGGTTACGGTGTATATCCGCGGCATCAGTTTAGAGGCGGAGTCTACACCAGCCAACCAGCATCCTGAATTTCTATCGCTCTTCTTGTTCTCTCCTTTTCCCCTCGGTTTATATCATCACCCTTCTCACTAAAGTCTAAAGGTATAAATAGACTTTTCGAGCTTTTTTTCCAAAACTTGGTATATTCATTTTTTATGAACCTGGACAATACCGTAATCCGATTTTTATTCTTTTAATTCGTCGTGGAATATGATAATGTTGATAACTAGCTTAAATGAAAGAATACTTGCTCTGAACAAATTTAGAATATTCATCAAATGTCAATAATTATTCAGTAATTGAAATAGTTTGAAATATATTGTGGATGATAAATACATTTTTGTGGAGTTATCAGCAAACAATAGATTGATTAATTGAAACAATGTAATTTGATTTAATCCACTCTCTTTAACTGAATCAGTGAAAATTCACTGTTTTTCAAAACTAAGTCAGTCATCGATTCAATCAGTTAGCACTGGAAGTTTATGATTTCCTATCATTTTTACTGATTTATTTAAAAAAAAAACTTTTTTCTTAAAAATAAATTGGTTTGTCTATGAAGATATAATACATGTTTCACATACTTATTTAAAATGAATCAGTAACATTTACTGATCATCAGTGTTTACCAAGTCTATCATTGAATCAATCAGTAATTGCATTTGAACTGATAGCCAGTAAATAGTTACTTCTTTTCATTTAATTTTATCAATTTATTTAAGATAGTTCTTTCAACTCTGATCAAAGATCTAAGCCTAAAATGTTAACACTCCAAAATCATTAAATTTTTGATAAAAGGTAATATCAAAAAATTCCAACATATATAATATTTTGAAAATAAAAAGAAAATGACTATTTTTATACGTTAACTGTTTTCGTATATAAAAAAAGAGTTAAATGTAATTGATAAATCTATTTGGATTCCTTGATGTGCCTTGATCCTTGATGTTGAGATCATTTTTATTTTTTAAATGAGATAATAGCAATATTTGATTGGGGATAAATTTGAAATATTAATGTTTACTAACGATTTAGAGTTTAGAACATAAATGAAATTATAAGGAAATTATATTTATGAATAATGAGTTTGCTATTTATCAAAATTGTTTTGTTTTAGTATTAGGAATACTAATATTAAACACAGATTCAACATTTAAAGTATTATATTAAAGATTTGTAAAGTAGATAAGAATTAACTTATTATTGATGGTGCTAATATTGACCAGGTTTTATAATAAATTTGTAAATAAATTTATCATTTTTTAGGATGCAATCTTTCCTAATTGTTTGATTGATAGTAATAATCTCAGAATAAATATTCAATTGAGATTTGGAATGAATGACAAATATTATTAAAATAAAAAGTGATAGACAAATATTTTTTTGTTTTCAAATTTACAGTAGTAAAATAGACTTAAGTATTAAAGCAAATATCAATAATGGAGTGCATTTTTGTAATTTAAAAATAATTTTGCCAATTTACAAATAAAATATTTGGATTGTTGTTTTATTTCCAAGTCGATCCAAAATAAACTGTATTATTGTCAACACATCAAGTATAAATATTGTCAAGTTTTTTTTGTTATATAGAATTGTCAAGATAAATTTTTTAGTCAATATTAACAAAACATCCGAAAATATGTTTAATAAATATATCAATTCAATCTTTATCTAAATATCCATATAACATTTAACTGCTGAATTACAAACAAAAAGTGTATATCAATATTTCAGAGAGTTTCTATCATCTAAAAAAGCGGTAAATGAATTAAAATTAAAAAAAAAATGTCTAGTAATATTTATATTATTTTTAATGACAGAAACTCTTATTTTTAAATCATTACATTATTTACAAAGTTCTAGTATCCAAGAACATATTAAAGTTTTGTAAAAAATTTAAATAATAATTTCATTGCCAATCGAAATAAAAACGAATGATAATGATTGTCAAAAATGTACATATGTCATAACTTTATAAATATGTATGACTGAAGACTTTACATTTGTCGATACAACGCAACGTGTGTTGTAATCGTACGATGATCAAGCGGGCTTTTACCTTGGCTCCAAACACAGAACGCAAAAACAGGCCGACAGCTGAGTGTACACAGGGACTTCTCCTTTTATCTCCGAGTAGTATAATTTTCTTTCCTTCTCTTTCTTATTCTCTGCTACTTCTCGTCTCTCATTCTGGTGCCTATGCTAGTAGTGGCTGTGCAACGTAGTTATATACATAAGCTCTCATGCCCCATCTTCTCTTTTGTCGATCTGCTTTTCTCTCTTCCTCATTTTTCTCCCTCTGCTCGAGTCTATTGCACCTCGGGGTCCTATGCAAACACAACATGCATTCATTGGCCGATATATATACGTATGTGCTACATCTACCGTGTGAGAGAGAAGGAATAACGCGTGCTCGTGATTTAATGAATCCCGCAAAAACGATTCGAGGAGCTTCGATTAATCGTTTCGGTTCATTTTATTGGATAAACACCGAATAAACACAATCCAATACTACGTTTATTTTTTACATGTTTATTCGTATAATAATTGAAGAAAAACCATGTTTAATATGCGGAAAATGTCATTAAGTAAACGTATATTTACCAATTGACTTTTAGAAAAGATAATAAAATTCGAGATAATGAAAGAGCTTTTAATTATGTATTTAATCGTATAGTTTTAATTAATAAATCGTTTTATAATTAACTGGAGATTTCTTTTTACTTGAAAAAAACTGTTTAACATAAAAATTATTTATAATTAGTGTACTACTTTTGTTAAAATTCTTCTATAAGAAAGAAACAATGAGATATAATAATTTCAAGCAAAAATTAATTATAATATAATAAAAAATATTTAAATTAATTAACAATTTAGAAAATCTATTAGATTGTTTTATATTTTTATTAGTAAACAATTATTCTATTACATAAATAATGAAAAAAACGTGTGTTATTTATTTTGGAATAAAACCTAGGGTTTATTTTACTCCAAAATCTGTAGTTCACTTTTAAAAAAATTCAATAAAATTGTTTTAAATGTTTTGTGGTTATTTAGTAATATTTAAATTTCATAATATTGTGTTAGATAAAAAAATTCTATTTCTAAACGATAAATTGTTGTTTAGTGTATTTCTTCATGAGAAGTAGAAAATGATTCTATGTTGATATTTATTCAAAACTTTCCAGAAGCTGAAGATTTATTATATACCTACATCTATCAATAAATTTTGATCGATAATCGAATGTGTGTGTTGAGCTTTATCGAGAGCAAATTTAGCTGTCGAGGTTGGATGATTTTGCGAATAAACACTCTTACAAATTCAATTCTATCCACATGTATATAATAATAAGTGTGTATATAAAATATATAGAGATTTAATATATTTTTCCTTGAATGTTTACAGCATGTAACCACCTTCCGGCGCAATTTACCTCCCAAGAGACATTGTTAAATGATCATGAAAGAAAAAATGGGTAAGTTTTTTCTTATGCTCTTTATTAAATTGTCACGTCGATGTCAGTAAACTGAAATTTAGCTTATATAAAAATACTTCAAGTGTCTTTGCTTTGAATAAAAATGATGTCAAATAAGTGTTCCTTTAGCGGTTGAAAGGTATATACATTTTGGTAAAGACCGAGTAGATAATCTTTTGACAACACAAACGTTACTTTCTGTAGATTGTAAATAGGACAAGGGTGACGGGGAAGTGAAGACGAGAAAAAGAGAAAGGTAGTAGAGAGAAAGAGAGAGTAGGCGGGTGAATTTAGAACGCGAACAGGGATGTTTGAGTACGCCATGTCCCGCTGGGGGTTGAAGCTAAAAGAGAGACTTGCTCAAGAGAGATCCCTCCGAGCCACCGAGGGATCCAATATAATCGCGCAATAAAATTCACTCACGAAGACTCCTTTTCTTTCACTCTTTTCTCTTTTTTTTTTCATCTCTTTCTTCTGCTACAGTCCACTTGGTATTTCTTTATCCTGCTTGAGGCACCAGAGTACTAGCTATTGCAGTGCCAAAAGTACTATAGAGTCGTTTGAAAGTCTTTTTACAAAACTGCAAAAATTATTAAGAGTAAAAAAACTCTTGTAGGAAAAATGTCAATGTTGATAATGTGATCAAAAATTCTTTTATTTTTATTAATTTTTTTATTTAATAAAAAATTATTTATTTACTCTTTTTGTGTTGAACAACTTTACTTTAACATAAAAATAGTTTCATAAAATAAGTATTAAAAAATCTATTGTACAATTTTAATTATTTTTTTTAATAATTCCATTAACTTTTTCATTAATCAAATATTATTTGATACATCTTGTTTGACTGGTAAATAGAATAGAACAAAAAATTGACCACAAAACTTTTATTTATGCAAACAAATTACGCTACAATAATTTTTTTAATTATTTAAAGAGTATAAATGGTTATCAGTTTTATGAAGAATAATTTTAGAATGATTGGATAAAAGCAATTGAAACAAAACGAAGATAAAAATGAAGAGTTAGCTACTCAACAATTCAGTTGTGTATGATTTTCCATAAACATCGATTAGACAGCCAGATGTAGCTTGTGCACTTGACTTGTCGATCGAAGCCACTCATTTGGCTTACACGTCCACTTGATGCACAAAACTGACAGGCTTTTTTCTCTTCTCTCGCGTATAAATCGAACATATTACACGTGGACGTACCAGAGATTGAATAAAAAAAAAGAAAAAACAGCAGCATTGTTTTGTTCCTATCAATAATCCACTTATTCTGACTTGAAGGGTTTGATTCATCAGAAACTCGTGAATGCGTTTGAAAGGAGTCAAAGAACAGACGAGTCATCGAGCTTATTTAATTTCTAAAAAACTTGATAATTTTCATTAAAGTTAAGTTAATGACGAACGGAACATTTAATTCAATCCAAACTAAACGAATACACATTTGGAAAGCTTCGGAACTCGTTGGATAGTGAAGCAGCTGAACATTGAGAAGAGTTTCAGGACTTTTGAAATCAAAGCGTTGGTAATCAAATGATTAAAGGCAACTGGGAGTCCGTGCGAAACTCCCGACGGAAATCAGAGTTGCTGGCCACCCGTCAGAATATCTCTCTTTGCTTCTCATGCTCTTTCTCATCTCTATATTCGTGCTAGTATTCTAGAGCCAAGCAACTCTCGCCCGTTATCCCGGAACCACCCTCAAAACCACCTACCAACTTCGCGCCCAGTCGCCATCTCTCTGCTCTCATCGCTCGGCATCCCCTTGCGCTTTGCTTCCAAGGGGTGGATCTCTGCTTCTAAACCCTCCAACATACGCATCCCTCTTAGCAAACAAACCCGGTTCTCTCTGCAACAGAGAATCCCCGGGCAGCCTTCTCCAATTCTCTCTCGATATACCGATTTATTATTATATACGTATTATAAGTGCTATAGTCTTCAATAAAAACAAAAAACTTATTGTTTATTTTTTTTCTCTGGTAACTTCATGTCAGTCAAGTTTTTTACATGAAAGGGGGTTAGATGGTGATTTTTATGTTTACTTTTATTTTTTAAATAATTTATTTGAGATTTATTGATGGTGGTAGTTTGAAGAAACGAAATGGTTCGTAAATCTGTTCTTGTTTATGATTTATTAAAATCAGAGAAGCGAAATAATGGATTTTCGCCAGCTGAAATCTTCAAACGTGTCAGTGAGATGCATAATATTGTTCCGGGTAAGGGATTGAAGAAGCAAGTTGATGTGGCTCTCCGCCGGGGAATTGATTTTGGTATTTTGGTCAAGAAAAATAAAAAATACATGTAAATCTATTTTTATTTCATTTCAAAAACCTTTTAAATCTACAATCATTTTTATTTCAACACAAATTAATAGAAAAAAATGGATTTAAATTACATTTTTCAGCTCTATTGAATCTCATTTAAATAAAAATTTCAGTGTGTTATTAAATTATTGAATTGAATAAAAATTCAACTTTATTTTTTAACTTAATAACCAATATTTTTTATATTCAATATGTAAGTTATATAACGATTATACACTTGTAATATTCTATAATTAGATATGATTCACATCCAAACGATTTGCTGAACCAACCTACGGAGCGGAAAGCAAAAGCACGTAAAAAAGCAGCTAAAAAATCAAAGAAGCACCCAAAGAAGCCTTCAACAAGTTCAAAATCACGACGAAAACGAGCTCCATCATCCAGCCGGAAACAATCTCACAATCCTCCCAGACCAAGAGTACCTCCACCTCCCGATTGGACCCCAAAGAGACGTAATATACGCGAAGAACCAATTCCAAAGTTTATAAAACATCGTCCCCATTCACCGCGTCTTTTGTAGCTGCTCATACTTATTTTATAACAATATATAAAAAATGATGATAGTTAAATGCCGGTAGTTGGTGAATTTTTTCCCATAAAATTTTCTCTTCCGCCGCCAAGATCTAGATCGCGTTAACCGAGACTCGTTACGACATCCTAATCCCACCCCAATATAAATGAGAATATAAGCTTGCTTCATTGATCGTCAATTTTACGAGACTTTGCAGATTCTTTTGTTGGTGAAAAAAAATCAAAATGAGAGTAAAAAGAAGATAGAATTCAACTATGAAGAAATCCCAAGGCTTTTTCATTCAAACAAATTTCATGGTAAACCTTCAGAATGAGTAACCCAAGAAAATGGATCTCTATCCAACGAAAAATGACCAATAACCTATGGACCTTACAGTATAGTGCAGCTACAGACAGCCTGTGAAATTGACAAATAATTGTTGTGGTCAATTGTCACTACAAATTCTAGTATCCTGTTGAGGCACCTGTTTTGAAAATTTTTTTTTTAAGTCAATAAATATACTTTCTTGCAAAAAAATAATACATGTCAGTTCGTTCTTTTTTATCAATGACTAGAAAGTTGAATGAAAATTTATAATGAATTACTCAAAGAGTATTATAATTTTAATAATATTACATATATTTATTTTTTTCAAGACTGCTGATCATGTGAACTATCCTAATATTTACTTAATTACTTGTATAACTCAATTGATAATTATATTTTTCTTCAACGAATTACATTAATTTGGTTGATTTAAAAATTGATTATAATAAATTAGAGACAGGATTGAATGTAAAAATGAATTATTACAAATAAATATTGACTTTTACTTCCAACGTGTATCATTGAACAGTTGTTTTTTGATTACAAAACATTTGCTTTAATTGATCAATTTTTCATTTTTTTAATTACTTACTTTTTCAATGTTCATCCTTGTCTGTTGTCTCATATTTTCTACCACCAAAATACCTTCAATTATATTTCAAAAATATTCAATCCAAGTTTGATACGATAAATTTAATAATATTTTTACTTTTCAATGATAAAAATCATTTAATTATATAATTGATATCATTTATCGTAATTGAAAAATTATCTTTCATAAGAGTAATTATTTTAAAATTAATTTTAAGTCATTAGCCATTGTTTTTTGATCATTGTAATATATATTGTAAAATTCAACCTGTCGATTTTACCAAATATTTTTTGTTCCACTATTGGAAAATAAAAGATAAAAAAGGTATAGAAATAACTCATAATAGACCCATAATGAAAAGCATACTGATGACTGGCGCCTTCGAATAAATATTTTAGGATAAAATGAGATCGTAAAGGAAGGTATTGTGTTAATACTGGTTTAGTATAATATGGGCAACTTTTAGAATTGTCTATCTCTGCAGTAAAGTCTCTTCTTGTAGATAAACCACATATATTTGGTATGACGTAAATGCCTGAATTATTGTGCAAGAAATTCTCTGTCGTTTGAAAAACTAGTGCTTATTTAGATATAGTTTCCCAGCTTAATAGCTTCTCTACCACTTCACTTACCAAAGATTAGATCATAAGTAAAGATTGTAAAATGATAGATGATAAAGATATGTGGGATAATTACAGGATAGAATAATCTGCTAGTAATATAAGTTGCAAAGAGTTGGTTTTAAATTTTTGAAATACTTCAAATTCTTTATTTATTGTAAAAAATTTTATCTTGCAGACGAACTAGAGGTATAAAACTTCATATTGATAAAAAAAAGAGTAGATATTTTACTTTGATTGCTAAAGTAATAGTAGAAATTGAAAATTTATTTCACTACCATTGATATCTTCATCTCATTGATCATCCAGGTACTGAGTATTTAAATGAAAAACTAGAATTATGCATTTATCCTGATTTGCTGTTATTTTATTCTAGTGTTGTTTAGTATCAATCATAATTATCTAGTAAAATTAAATTGATTAGATTGTACTAGAAAAAAGTGGAAATTGGAAACAATTTGATTGATAGAAGCTCAAGAAAAATACGTTAAAAAAACAAACTAGACACCACAGACAGAAACCATTATCGACCAAATTGGTATTACGTACAAAATATCTTCACATTCTTCATATCAATCCAGAAGCCACATATCTATTGACTAACATGACCTTTTTCCTCTTTGTTTGATGTCCGCATAAACGTTGTCATCTAGAAAAAATGGGTGTCTATGAATAATTGATAAATACCTGACAAGTCAGTGACTAACCGAATAAAAAGAATAATGTAATCATACATTATATATTATACCCAGAATACCATCAAAAACTTGTTCGATTATTCCTATTCCTACAATTCGTATCGGTCTATGAACCTCGAATATGTTTTATTGTAACTTGATCAGTGATCAACTGCAATTCTTTCCTATTATATTCTCTCTATCACAAAAAAACTAGAAAATAAAAAAATATATAAATAAGTTGAAAAGAGTTGGAAAAGTGAATAACACATGTCGCAGGTGTTTCTCACGTCATATATATGTTCATACACATTTACCTACTTCTATCTAACGTTCTTATTTTATTTTTTGTGTTCCCCTGGTTTATGATGTCGTGTGTCCAGTCACGAAAGATCATCATTTCCGGTTTCAATTTACCTTCATTACTTTGTGCTTAAAAAAAATAAAAATCAACATATTCTCACACGTGACCTTAGAAGTAATATGACATAAATTGATTTGGAGTAATAGTCTGATTAAATGGATCTGAAGGAAACTATTAAACAAGAACATGATGATCACGATCATTATCATTATACGTGTCGCTATAGGTCAATTGAGGGCTTTAGGGTCGCATGGGGACAAAGAAAGGACTAAAAGTTTCGTGTCGATCCAATTAGGAGTTTTATTATACTCTCGGGGTGATTCGATATGGTGACGTCAATGTGATATATTGGATCCATGGACCAGTCAACCAACTTTCATCTTTCCCTATTCATCACCTTTACTTAATTTATGTCAAAAGTCAAGCATTGTTCCTGACTGGTCATTAGTTTTTCAATAAGCAGAATTAGCATCTTGTTATAATATAAATATTAACAAAATAAATGACAAAAATATAACCAAGTGTCTGACAATGGTAGAGTTGTTGGTGTCTGGAAGTGTACACGATGCCAGGTATGTTATCTTAGCGTTATCGTTGTAGATTAGTCCCCGGTCCGCTTGCTCAAGCATCGCTCCAAGCTTTTCTCTGTGTACTCTTGGCATACCGTTGGTTTCAAGACACTTAACTTAACTTGGCTTCTTATTATACATAGATATATGTATATACACACTTTCTATATGATGCTTACATTTAACAAATCTAATCTTTATACCATAAAATTTATATAACACTCGTTTATACATTCATTCTCTTTGTAAGAATTTAATATATTTAAAACAATTTTGATTCACAAAAAGTAAAATTATCTTTGATTAAAGCAATGAGAAATTTTTTTTGCTGATTTTTTCATTTCCATGAATAAAAAATTGAATTTATCTTAAAAATACTGCTGATAAAAGCATTTTCCCTATCTCCATATCTCTACTTTTCGAATCTTTTGTAAGATATTTTCTACCTGATCATTTTAGTTATCTAAAAACAGCTAAATATTAATTGTTGTGGTCTTTCAATGGCACTAAATAAAAGAATAGAACATTTGGTTGATTAACATGCTTAGTGGTTTTTAGAAAAGCTCTTGGCCAAGCAGAATAGTATGGTGAGGGGTAAAAGAGTGTATTTCAAAGCGACGATGCGTGAAATATTGAAAGAAAGCGAAAGACCACAGGCCTTGTCTGGTTTAGGTCACTCGACTCTAACTGACTGGCTGCCAGTCTTTTTTATCCTGGGGTATAATGTGTCCTCGACGTCGGCACCTTCGTGGCTTTGGTACTATTTGTATCCTTTCAGAATGATCATCAATGCACATAGATTGAGTGGAATGAAGAGGAAGAAATAATAGAAGTTATACCAAGTGTGTCAGCAGCAGGTTCTTCATTCTTTGTGTTCACTAGACAATTATTTGAGCTTTTGGTATCAATGAAAGTGTTGCTAGCTAGTAGTTATATAAACTGTTTGTATCTAGGGCTGTGGAGCCCTGAAATCTGCTTTCACAATGAGGAAAAGTTGGAGATAAGAGACTGTCTTATTTTTATAGCTAGAAAAAGCAAGTATTGGTGACACACAATCACGTTCAAGTAACAAAGAAAGAAAGTCACTGAGAAATTGCGGGGTTTAGAACAGAGTATGGATGAGGGATAAGAATAGTTGGAAGAGAAGCAAGATTACGAGATAAGGAGAGAGAAAGAGACATGGATCAAGGATAGTCTTTGCCAAACACCAATATTTGCGAGCGCCCTGTTGGTACCTCTGCTTGACTCCAGTCGACCGATTTACAAGCTACGAGTATTTTCTATGTGTTAACCCTTCAATAGATCTTCATGGATCAAAACTTTGATTATTAATTAATTGACATTCATGCTGAAGTCGAGCTGAGATTGATTAAAGATCAACTTTTTGTTCATCAAAAAGCCAATAAATTGTGATAAAATCTATCTTACTTTTATTTTAAAAACTTTTTATAATCAGAATTGTAATATTTATTTCTATTGTTATAAAAACAATTTAAAGTATTGGATCAATTTTTACGTAAATTATGCTTTTAGTAATAAATGTTTTCTGGCATACTATTGTTCAATCATACTATCAAGGTTTAATAATTAATGATAATTTTAATGGTTGATCATCCTCTTCAATTAAAATACTAGTCACATATGTGATCCAATAATGGATTTTTTCAACTAAATCTTCTCCATAATAAGAAATGTATCCATCATTTTGGTCTTTTTCACACAATCCTCCATAATATGTATGCATATGGTAATATTCACGATAATCATTATTTTCTGAAAGTAGTTTACAAATATATACCATAGTAGAACGATCCTACAACAAAAATCATTTTATGTTAATTGTATTTCTATGGCAACCTAATGATTTTTAAGTATCATTAATTAGTTTATTCAGTATTAAAGAGATTTATAAAATCATTAATTACCCCAATCGTTTCATTTATTTCTCCTCTTTCTTTCATTAAGCATTCGTTAGTGTTTTTAATGTCTTCTGGATCATCAGAATTGGAAAGAATCGTCGGACATTCATCTTCAAAACACACATCAAAACTATTATTCATTATAGCTCATAGAATAATTCGTTTTTTTCTTTACCTTTGGATCCATCAGAAATTTTGTAGAATCTTGAATAATAATAATCCCAAGCTGAACAATTATAATTGGCTTGTATATAATTCATCAAATTCTCGGATGGTAAACAAATTGGTGTATAATTAGCAGGGAGGGGATCGTTGAATGTTAAAATAGCAAAGTCATATGAGCCATTACATGAGTTATACTTTGGGTGAACGTAAATTTCTGAAACATCTCGAACAAAACCATCTAAAAATGGTTGAGAACTTATGATTTGAAAATCTTCTGGAGAGAAGCTAAAAATAATTCATAAAAATCAATAGTTATAAGAGTAAATTTATTTTTAAACTGATAAACTATACTCACTCTTTAACTCGATGAGCAACTGTTAATACAGCTCTAGGATAAATTACATATCCAGTACTGTTACTGTCCTCGATGCTACTTTTTTTGTGTATAATTTTTGTAACACTAATACCATGTCCACAGTTTTTTTCAGGAAGGTAACCCAATACAGTTGAGCTACTCCAAAGCCCAATGATAATATAGAACAGAAAAATCCTGGAATTAGAAAATAATTAGCAATTGACTGAGTTCAAAATTAATGAACGTGGTTAGAATAATGATATTGAATTATATTGTTAATGTTAGAGATCCAAAAGAATCTTTAAATGTAATCATTTAAATAGTTTAGAAGCATAGCAGATGCAACAACTGGTGTTAAAAAATGAATACTTAAATTTATCGTTGTTATTTAAAAAGTTGAATACAATATTACTTACATGTTCCGTTGTTGATGGTGATATTTTAACTGGTGCTGGTTTGATATCCGATTCGTTCTCTTTTAAGTCTAGAAGTTGGGGATAAATATGGTTCTAATGGTGGGAATGACGAGCTGGAATAATATTTATGATGTTAAATAGAGAATAATCACCGATTTATTACAACATAAAATTTAAAAAAACTTTCATTCGTGCAATCACCATATCTTTGTTGTCTACTAAAAGTTTTTATTACACATGAGTTTGATAATAAAAATATTATTGCAATCCTTACATTGTTTAATAACATTTGTTTGACGAAATTATTTCATTTTATTACGTTTACTGCAGCAAAATAAATAAAATAATTTTATATCAGATAAATTTAATAATCAATTGATATTACTGACATACACATATTTACATCGATGATAACCATATTTTTTGGAAATATTAAATTGAATTTATTCAAAAATTAATTTCCAATCATTTTGAGTAAATTCAAAGATGAAAAGATTCTAAAACATATGTGAATATTATGCAAATGATCCAATAATTTAGGCTGAATGTAATATAGCAGCTTCTACATCAGAGCATGGTGAACAGACTACTGGTTGTAATAAATAATAATCAGGCGCTAATTAGCAGTGGCCATGCTGGTCGTAGTTTGAGATTTAATCACGTCATACACGAACACATACGATTACATATGTATTGAATGGGTAGTGGCAAGGGGTGAACGTTCACCTCGGACATACCACCAATCCCAAGTCTATGTATCCAGGTTAACGCTTGTGTGTGGTATTCGTGGACCTTGTTGTAACCCGGACATGTTGACGATGTCCAGGCTAGCCAATGTAGTTCGGGCTGATAATGCAAGCGTGCCCGAGGCATCAGTTGGGAATTTTCGACCATTCCAGGGCTATTTCTACCTCCGTTGGATGGTGAATTGCCAGCTCAATTGTGGCTTATATATCTCATCGCCATTTTGTAATCAACGCGATTAGAGCCATCATCAAATGCAACGTTACATTTAAGCAAATATTTCAACTGAAATGAACGTTATAACGATAATTCATTTCAGTTAACGTAACATTTAATAGAATTTAATGTTGCTTTGCTAGAAGATGTCATCATCAAGGAATTTTTATCTTCAACTCTTTGATAGAGAACACAGGATACGTTTGTTGAAAGTCGTTTAAGCAAATATTTAAATGTCAATGCAAGTCTTCTTGGAAACGAGCACGTCATATAACCTTATTTTCAATGTCTTTCATTTTTTTTTAATTCAAAGTTGAAAAAAAGGAGTTTGTAATGACAGTTGTTGAAGTATTAGAGTTACGAATGAAGTTTTAATGGTTTAAAGTTGATCAAATAAAATAATCAGGTCGAGAGAAATAGCCAGAATGATGACTTTGTTGATGTCGGATTGTGATGTTTTATGTGATGCAATTCAGTCACATTACCATTTAGATTAGTTAGATTAGCTCGGCGTAACCGCGAAATATCAACAAAACAAGCGTACTTGTTTAACGTTTTAATTTTATTCTGTTAATTACTTTGAAACGGATGGCTTTTTAAGTAGATTAAAATATTCGCTGCGTAAACCACGTTACACTCATCTCTTTTTGTCAGTATATTTCATACACCCTCTCGTCATCATCATGCCTCCCATGCCACACGTTGTACAGATAATTAATGTGTTTTCGGTGCGGAACGAGAGACAGCTTTCCAAGTGAGTGCAAGTGACGCGCATGACCAACGATCCAATTTTCAACGGAACACCGAACATCATGTCCTCTGTTTTAACTAGATTTCCACCTCGCTTGCTACTGAATTTCATTTCGCTTTACAGCGCGATATGTTCCCACTTTCATTATCAATACCCATTTTCTCTCGAATAATTGTTTTTCCAATTCTATTCACTCTTGTCAGTTTTTCTCTTTTACAAGTTTATGTGTGTTAATATAACAGCGTTATGTTGGTGATAAAAATTATTATGAACAAAAAAAAGAAAGCTTCAAGCACAAAATATATTACCCATAGAACTGATCAAACATCAGTGTGTTATCGGCAAATATAATAATTAGTTCATATATTTTCTGTAGTACTTCCACTCAATTTTTCTCCAATCTTTCTCTTCTTATTCGTTTTCTAAGGTATAATAAAAAAAGCTAGAGTATTGTAGAAAATTTTTTATTAGCTTTTTACGACGAGAAGTAAGCTTGAGGAGACTTTTTGTAACGGACTTGCTCTAAGGCAAAGATAAACAATCGTTTTCGTACATCACACATATGGATAGATGACGATATTGGTATATTCATGGTAATACATTACTCATATACATGAATTTCCTTCACATACACATGCACAAGCATGTAGGTGGGTTTATTGGGTCCGTTGGGGGATGCTGGCAGTGCGCAGAAACAACCCTCTAGTCAAACATTGCAACATCAATCAGCACCAGTCACTCAACTGTGGACCATTGGCGCCAACATAGCGATATTGCTTCCATTTACATTCAGCTCACTAACAAAAAAGTTGCAGGTGTTTTTCAGTACAAAGTTAAAATATACGCATCGTTGGTTTTATTTTTTATCAAACGATATTACATCGTATCCAGGTTTCTCGTTGCCAAAAATGTTTGTAAACCAAAAACTGTTGGATTTAATCATTTAGAGGATGCTTTTAAAGATATTAAGTATATGAATTTTCATGGAAAGTGCAATAATATTTATCTTATTCATCACTTAAGCGAGTAAAAATATTATGTACATGGTAAAAGATGTAGCTAACATCCCCTTGGCTAGTCCTGTTTTGCATAGCATTAGTACCAGTATTATTGTAAGCTGACATTTATGATTCAACAACCCCCTCATGGATAGACTCTCACTCTGTTTAGATGAGCTTCTTGTTCGTTTATTTTATTTCATTTTTAGTGTATAAAAAATTCTGTTCGATTCGTTAGAGCAATTAACGGATATTTACATGGTGAAAAATATAGAGTATTAATAAAAAATTTAAAACATAAGTTGTTTCAATTTTTTGCTATGCTAAAATTAAATAGACTCAATATTATTGGACATTGTAGCGATGATTATTGGAAAAATGAACGAGAAAAGAAAACTAAAATACTTTTTTTAGATTTTTGAAAAATGTTTGAAATAAATGAAAAAACAGTTTAATCAACTGATAGAAAATTCATTAGATATGAAAAATATTTGAACGATTTAATTAGGTACTTCCTTATTAAAATAATTTCCTGGTCTCGGTGTCTCTTTCTTATTTCATTCATTAATTAATAAAGACAAATTGAAAATGCCAAAACAAATATGTCTTTTCATTTTCTCAGAATAAAGCAATTTTTCCTAGCTAATTTTCTCTTCTAACCAACTAATATTTGCAATAATTATAACATATTAAATTTTTCTTTGACTTAAATACAAGCAAACTTGAAAAATAGGAATGTTTTAATTGATTTTATCGCAATTAATTATGGTCAATAATTTTTATCATTTACTTTAACCAAATAACTTAACAAATAAATTACTTCTGAAAGTAAAATTTTAAACCAAGTATTTAGTTGATCATGTAATAAGAGAATATATACTGTTCTATATGCTGATATTTACCAAGTGAGTCACACAGAGTATTTATCCAAGAACCCAGGGGCAATAAGTGAATTCGTGACAGTCAGAGAGACCCTTAACGTTCTCCACCTTCATATCAATTTGATTCAAATTATTGACTCCACAGAGCAGTCAAATTTCCATGTATTGAAAGCAAAATAAATTTTACACAACCATCGGAATTCCACACGTAGTAAAGGCATTGCTGATAAAGTACGTTGCACTAAGACGAGAGTAGATTGGAAAGTAAAGGGGGTGGTGTAATATAGAGAGTGGCTAAAGGCAGACGTAATTTCCTGCCTCGCCTGACAACGTTGCAGACATGTTTGCCAACCTAACACTCACCATCTCCGTGCACTACACTACAGTGTTGTATTCCGTTATCATGCTGGAACGTTTTGCAGCAATGATGCATCACAGTAACGTATGGTAGTAGAGGGTAGTTAAACCACAGCCCAAGGCGCTTTGATCAAAACACAGTGGCCAAGTAAAATAGAAAGATACAAACAAATTTTTAGGAACAATTTTGCATTTTTATTCACTTTTTTTACATTTTGAGGTGAATAAAAATTTCAAACACTTTTTTCTAGTATCAATCAATCACTTTATTCTAAAATTATATCACAAAGTTTAAACAATTCAGGTGGAGAGTTTTTGAATGAAGAAATATTTTTAAATAAATCATTTATTTAATTGAGTAAAAAAAAAAAGATTTTTGTGAATTAATTTTGATTGATCAAAAACTTGTTACAGTAGTATTATCTAAATTTGTTCTGACACTTTAGAATTAGTTAAAAATATTGAAAAGAAAAAAAAAGTAAACTCTCATTTATGAATCTTCTTTTTGAGAGGAAATTTCATTGTCTTTTAACCTACATAGCTCAAGTAGCAGCTAAAAAAGTAAAGTCGAAACCGTAAACAAATTTTCGTCGACAAGTTCTAATGGAGACGTAAAGAATGTATTTTTTCATCTCTTCAACTGCTTGTGTAATTCACATGAAAGAAGGTGCGAGATAAATCCAATGGAACGCACACTTCTCAAATCCAAACATTTCCTTCGGCCTAAGGAAACACATTTGCCTGCGGACAAACAAACGTATAGTCGTGTCAAGTCTCTTGGAGACACTGCAAAGTGGAACACAGAATGTGTCTTATTCTTATATTTGCTTTCGAGGATACAATATTCTGCAGCATCTACAGGACATTCTTTTGATCATGACAGACCATAGTACTAAAAGTATTGGATCCAAAAATAGCAAACTCTTGTTTCTTTTTTTATCCCTTGATATCTTACTTCTCATGATACAGTTTCCTAACAAGTACATGTTGCATATAAAAGAATTTCTCAGTACACGTTAGATTTACAATGTGCACAGACATGTTATATGCATTATGTCTCTCTGACACAGGTATATTGAGCTTCATAAGCCCGAGCGTGGCTGCGATCCAAAGAACAAACAAACCCCATTGAAATTTTCACCACCAGAGAATAGAGAGAGAAGAAG